CGCAACACGCGATTCTTCGACAAGCTGCCGCATAAATGCACTCTCCCTCTGCCCTGAGAGGCTGTCGCGTCATGACATTTGTCAGATTTCATTTCCAGACTCCTCTCGCGAGTTCAGGAGTAATGCTTTCCATAAAAAAAAAACTGGGGACCATAAAAAAACCATTCAGAGGATCCATCTGTGTCATTTTAAGCAGTGAAAATAATTTCTTCGCTCCTCTTCTTTAAAACAACTTCGCACTTGTATCGTGGAACTGTGTAGCCTGAAATTATGTAACCCTGTTCAAACGTTCCTAATAGATGAATTGTTAAATATTTATCTATGTGTAACGGTTTCGATAAATTCTTTATTACAAATTCTAATTTCAGTTACTAGCATCTGGTATGTTAAAGTTCTCGCCGAGATCATGTTCTGCTTAGAATTTATTAATCAAACTTACAATATATAATTTATTTCGTATAGTAAGTAAACTTCGTATTATATGGGACATATCATACGTGAATCTATAGAACTGGATAAAATAGAGACTTCAAGAATCTGTGATAAAAGCATTTATTTATATACAATGTAATAAAACCATTGATGAACAAAATATAGTTTCTCACGTGTAGCTTCCGAAAATTGGAAAAATTGAAAGTTGCACAAATATCTACTGCCTATATGCAAGTAGTGCCTGTTATATTTATACTTTACAAATATAGTAGTATTATATACGCAAATGAATACGCAACCTGTCGTTCGAAAGGTTTGAGTAATGGTAGACAAACATAGAAACCTGAATACACATTTTTCACCATCAAAATGACAGTTCATCGATATAGGACGGAAAATACCTAGACAGAATATAGAGTTTTTGTTGTTGAAACGTAACGGGATTTACTTTGAGCCTTCTGGATGATCTGCCAACCGTTTTGCAACGCATCGAAAAGCAGAAACGTTTTGGTGCATGAATTGTGCTTATCCAGGGGGCTCGAACATGCCGAATGTAAAAAATTTGTGAATCGAAAATAGGATTTTGATAGTCAGAATAGCAGAAATTTATCTCGTTAACATTTAACACCTTTTACATTCTCTGATTTCATATTCTTTGTATAGCGATATCCATAACAGCCTTTGTATTCATTCTTTCTCATCTAATTAGTACACTTTATCATATTTTTTACTCAAATAAATACAGATATTCTTCATAAACCGCGTTACACGGAAAGTTCACCGACCCGACACAGCATCTGCGCAATTTCCTCGAAAGGTTACACACTGATGGTCTATTTTATACCTCGTATTTGTTTGGGCAACACTCTGGTACACGTGGATGTCCATTTAACGGTTTCACTTTACCTTCACTTCCCTTTCCATCTTATCCGAGGAGAATTTTCCTTTAAACAGCGAAACGGAGTCGACTAACTTTCCGAGACTGTTTCAGGTCAAACGATCCCGCGGTGGTAATTGCTCCCATTTGTGCGAAAAGATCGGCGGACAGTGCTTTAATTAACACGTTGGTGTAATGTTGAAAATTCGACTACCCTCAGGACTTCTCTCGTACTTAACTTTTCCCTTAGTTTGCTCTGTTAAAACTCGTTTCCTCGAGAAAAAAAAACAACTATAGTTACTTTCGTTTCTTTTTCCCGGTGTGTACTTATTTGCAGTAGCAATAGTACCATCGTGACGGTGAACTCCACCACTTTATTCTTTCAATATATTTTAAGGATCATTTGAATTAATTGTTTCGTATTGTTCGATTCGATTGATTCCTATTAGAGATATAGTATTTCCTTATAATGACGTTTTATAGGTCTCACTATTTGATGTTACACTCTGTATACAATATATCGACGACCGTGATGCAATAGAACAAGTGTATATTTTCGATTTTACCTAACATTATCTTTTTCTAATCGTACCATGAAGTATCACGTCATACTTTTTACATAACGTTACGAGAAAATGAACACGAGGGTATACTTTTCTAAGCAATCTTTGTAATAATATAGACAAAATCTGAGAATTGAAGAAACACAAAACAATATCTGTGATAACGTGTCTGATGGGGGCACAAAATTTTAACATACCTCAAAGCATTAGATGCAGCAACAAATAATTCACTGGTACACTTTAAGGAACTAGTAACACAGTTTAAAGTCGAAACATTTTTCATTCCCTTTCTTCATTAAAAACGTAATGAATTTTGAAGATACAAAGTAAATATCACTGAAACCATAGAAGCTTCTAACTTCCAAGAAAATAAATGTTGAATTTGACAAAACATAGTGAATTACTTGTTGATACGTCTAATGTTCAGCTAAATTATGTTTACAAAAGTTAGTAACATAAATTGTGAAATGTTCGAAAATCTATTCCGCCATATGTTGACCCGTGAGAAAAAGAAATACGCAGGAAGGAAAGAAAAGGAAACTGGGAATTAAGCGCTTTCGGACGCGCGAACAATTCGGTGGAAAAGGAACGAGCACGATTCGGCGGAGAACGCCGAAAGAGTTGGCTCGAGCGTGAAAAAGTATGCTAAAGGGCGTGAGAGAAAAAAAGTCTTCCGAGAACGCGGGGGAAGGCATTATATAAATTCAGAGAGCGCAACGCGTCGACTGGACGCGACCCATCCCTAATGGGTCCAGCCATTATGACAATTGCATCCGTCGGACATATAAAACTAAACAAAAAATAAACACAGAAAAACAGACGAAGAGTCCGACACGGAGGGGTGCGTAACAACGATACGCTTCTATTCCTCTGAGCACGAAGAAAACAACAACAAACTATGTTTATTCAAATATCGAGTTTTGTGAACTAATTTACAAAGATTAGAGTCAAATAGAAATTTATTTTCCCTGATAGAGCCCATATAAGATTGAACAAAAAAACAAGACCTTATTACACTTGATTTAAAGTTAAACTATACTGCCCTTTAGACAATCCTGTATACGATAACTGCATAAAATCCGCAGTCTAAACATAACAGAGAACCGAAAGCCTCCAGGAAAACAAAAAAAAAACAAAACAAATCCTCATCACGAAACATCCAATGACGCCACACGATCGAACAAGTGGTATCGCATTTAGAGCGCGTTATTACGATCTGTTAGGCAATCGAGTTGAGCTCGTTCGATCGTTCCGAAAAATATTGAAACAACATTGTGATTTCCAAATATCGGTCGAAGGGGCAGGGGAAACGGTTGAAAACAGACAAAAAAAATCGGGAGAGAGAAAGAAAGAAAATTACTGTTTCATGTAGTATCACGGTTCTTCCCGCTGTCAAATTGATTTATACACCGGATCGTTGGCATTTGCATGCCCTTGGTCGGTCGAGTTCAGCAAAAAATATAGTCAGATCCCGATCCGTAAATATCGCATTGCCGGCTGGAAAAATATTTGTTTTTACCGTACCGTGGGCTGTGTTCCACCTCTTCGTCCTACTCGTCCTTCCACTTTCCTCGAGAGGGAGCTCTCTTAAATTCACTAGCCCGGATCCGTTCGAAACGCAACAGTTCCAGGTATCGCCGATAAAGCCGTGATTCACGTTCCACGCTCGAGTGGGTCGTTACCCCTACCCCCACCCACCTTCAACGTGTGCTGCACCTTTCCTACGATTTCAGAATTGTTCTTTCTTTTTCTTTTGACTCAATCATCGTGGCGCACTTTAACTATCGATGGGCGTCGAACTGTGCCTGGTCCTCCTCCATAACTTTCCCGTAATGTCCGCGAGGCGCGGGGAACGCGAAAGGCGGCCGCCCCCGATTAAATCGCGAACTGATATCGGCATACTGGGAAATTTACAGCGAACGGTACGCGACGTTTCCTACCATCCCCCGTGTCCTCGCGAATTTTAATTGAATGTCGGCCGCCGCATGGGCTCGTCTTATCGCCGGCTGATTTCTGACCGGGCTCTGGCTTCATTCGAGCTCGCGCAACGAACTCGTGGTATCTGTGTCTCGAGATTGGAATTTCGGAGATTGAAATGTGAATGCAGGAATTTTTGTTGGAAATTCCGACGTGGAAAGGTGTAAGTAGACTGCATTTATGACACGGACAAGCGTGTAGAAAATATGCGATGGAATGGTCGGTTGAACAAAAGGCAATGAAAAGTTTTGCTGCGCTGTTGAGAGAATGGACCCTTGATATACGTTGTAGAAATGAATTTCCTTTCGGCTGATTTTTCTGAAATAGCCTATAGAAATGGATTTTTGTATAAATACGCAGCCTCCTTATAAATAATGAACTTTCATTTTAACATAAATGAATTTTCTTGTGACTGTGATTTTTCTAGAGTAGACTATGGAAATGGTTCTATATGTACATTAATACCCGCAAATTAGTATCCTAAGGGAATGTTCAGAAATGATTATACATGTATATACGTAGATTGGTTCATATTGGTGTAAGAATAATATATATAAAAATGCAGAATGAAGTTCTTTTTCAGGTGGAACCTTTTTCTTGAAAGGTTGAATTAAAATGTTTGTGGAATATGGTATTTATAAAGCTTACCGTGTCTATCCATCACTTACTGTTTATATTTATTGTCAACACTTAATGGTGGTCTGGTACACCTGTAATTAACAAACATTCAAACCCCGTCTTCTCGAAAACGATTTATCTAGAGACGTTTTGTGAAGAACGATTTTTTTCTGGTTACAGTATTTATCAGATCCCAAATAAAATAAAGATCGACTTAAACATTGTTATACTTTTTATTCGGTGTGCCAGTAAATAATTTAGTATATCTTTCTCAACTTGGCATTCATATTTCAGGAAGTCAAAAGATTGTGCTATCCTTGTTCTCGATCATTTTTACAATAAATAAGCTGAAATATGTTCTGAATTTAAATTACATTACAGTTTTTAAAAAAAAAAGAACAGCGTATTTCTTATTAGTACACCTAATACTATAACGAATTCTCGACAATCTGGTATGCATAGATGCAAAAAATCCGAAGTTTCACTGTTGTCTTCCAGTATAACGTAGTAAGTACACTTTCGTATGTTTCCAGAGTGCAACTGGGTGTACAAAGACACGAATTGCCGCGGCGGATGCGTGTTAGCCAGTCCCGGATATCCTGGCCTATATCCTCCCAACATCCGATGTCGGTACTTAATTACTTCCGACCCACGAATGTCCATCGCAATTAACTTCACTGCCGTGCTTCTCCCCGCCAAGTAAGTGAGCCACGCTATATATATATATATGTTCCTGAAGTTCAAATCTTCTTAATTTAATTTAACACAGAATGTCTCGTGTTAGAATGTTATATTTAGAGAAGAGAAACTGGAGTCGCAGTTTGCGATTACATCCATGCACAGAATTAGGCGTAATATGTAAATATTATGTCCTCTAAAGATTCAGTGGAACTGCTTAAAGTTTCTACTAACCGATCCTAACTTGTCGATTCTAATGATCGATCCTAATATTTTTTTAATTAAAAAGAGGGTGTATAATGTTACTTGAAAATGAGCTTCAAGTAACATTGAAGTTGATACCAGAGGAGAAATTATATATATTTATAACGAACGCATTTGCCCCCTTAAACAGTGCAAAATAGCATTTTCATCTGTTTTTAACACTGACAAATGTATTTAGATTTTCTGTTTCTAGTAATTTATTCTAGTAGTTTAGTTCTAGTAATTTAGTTTTTTAGTAGTCTGAAATGAATTAGGTTTGCTTTACGATATTTTCATTCTATTACAAACAATTGTTCTGTTTAACCTAAATCTAGAGCTTGAAAAAAAATTTTGATTCAACTGAATTGGATTGTTTATTCGATTATATGAATCCACATTTGATTGTTCGTCCCAATCTCTTTCTATCACATTCTATGATACATTGTCTCCCAATTCAAAACTCATCTACATTCATCAATACTTCAATCTGTTTGTTGTACATGAAACCTTCAAACAATGTAACACTAATAATTTCCGAATGTACACCAAATAATTCAGTTTATACAAAACTATAAAATGGACGTTACAAAAGAACATAATCGCTATATTACGCTATGTTATGAGTTTAACAAAGGAATTAATAGAACTGCAGTAATGAGGAGCATACTTCATCTGTATAGTGAGATTATTAGAGTAAATTAGTGCTAGGAACGGTTCAACAAACTTCATGCAAGCTTTAATAATGACTCTCGTGTCGAGAAATCCTGTAGAAAAAAAATAGCATAAAGACACTTTACGGATTCCTATTGGATAGGATTCGTCAGTAATTATTAAACATTTGGCACAGAAGTTAAAAATACATTATCCACTAATCACTGAAAATGGTATATTTTCTCTAACATAAATTTGGAAACAACTATGACCTAATTAATCGGTATTTTTTTCAATTCACAAAATAATTTAAAACTATTTCCCAGCATGGCTGCGCCAAGTATACACGCGACAATACGAAAATGCCATTAGAAAGCGCAACCGGAGATACACACCCCGTTCGCCATACTTTCCATAAATAGCGTTTCAAGTCGCCAACAGAGATTCCCGGCGCCCGACACGTCCGCAAATATTTAAATAACGCTTCCGTCTCCCGCGGGGGTGAGGATGGAGGGGGATGAAGGTATCGTCGCGTCTTCGCCGAGCTCGTTTCGCGCCGCTAAGAGTCAGCCTTCCCGCGGGTGAATTGTACATTTTAATGTCGCGACGTCGAGCAGGAAAACCAATTTCGCCGTGGTGCATCCCAGTCTGCGGGATGGATTCACGGAGGGGAGTCGAAAGTGTTTCGTGAAATTCGGGTATACAGAAGTGTCACGGGCCAATACGTTTTCGTTCGCTTCGCGCCACATCGGGGATCGGAAGCCCTTTGTGCAATCCCTCCGAAAACCTGTGGCGGTGAGTGGATGTCAGGAAGATGCTTGATAATGCATCGCGCGTTCCGATTCGCCGTGTGCTCACGTCTCGACACATCCTCCTCGAATCATCCCATCCATCGAGAGGATAGAAATATACGAGAACTACTGGTATTGCCAGTATCGAGTTGTTCGCATCCCTCGCTAGTGTATGCGACAGATCGGACACAGATGTCTTTGTTTGAATTATATCAATTAGGAAAAGATTCGCCAATTGGTATGGTAGCTTGGTTGGTCAGAGATTAGAGTTGATATGCTAGTGGTAGGGAACTGGTCTACCCTCACCTCTGTCTCTAGCACACATTGCCCATCAGATATGGAGATATCTATCCTATCCTGAGGGTTCAGTCATCTCCACTACTGGGTGCTTGATTAGTTCCCCCCCCCCCCTTCCAGTAATGCGGATAACGTTTAAACATTCAGTGCCAAAGAGTTTTCGAGCATTCATGGATGATTTACTGTAGTGTTCATTTCGATGCTCTGGCATTGTGTTCGCTATGGAAAAGAAATCGATTGCTAGGTGTAATGTCATTTGTTAAGGCCACATCTGTGCAGCTTGTAACACACCCAGACAAATCTATTATTCGTGAGATAAAGTCTGCACTTTAGAACTAGCACGTGTCTCAGAAATTCCAAAACCTCCCTAATGAGAAAGCCCAAATTGAATATGGATTGTCTTGTCTTCAATAGCCAAGGGTGCCATAAATCGAGAATGTTCGAAAGATCAGTGAAATTAGGCAAAGGTTTTCGAGAGTCAGCGAGCCATCTGGGGAATTGGGCTAAAAAAAAAGTGCATGAGACAGAGCATTACGCGCCACAGAGCGCCATTAACCTTCTTGTATCGATCATCTTTTGTTTAATCGAGGAAACGTCACTCCTATCAATCAGTGTGCTTTTGTTTGGTTCTATTAACGCATGGAAGAAGAAAAAGGCGTGAACCAATTCTCACCCATAGACAACTACACATAAAAAGATGACAAATTCAAATATCAACTCTGGCCGTTAGAGATTTGGTAGCTTTCTTCTTCTTTTTTCACTGAAGCTCGAAATGGCCTCACTTGTTTTATGCACTAATTGATTTTAGAATCGAATTTAGAGTTACTTTTGTACGTGTATTTTGAACATGATACGTTTCGAGTTTACATAATGTATTCGCCGGAGAAGCACGAATCATACCATTTCCTGCGGGAGCAAGTTTAGGAAAACTTCTGCATGATCTACCCTGTTGAACCCGATAGATGAAATTTTAGCAACCCGAGAAGTCAGTCGATACGGTTCAACAGATTCACGGAACTGTTTTCAACAGAAATTCTGAGACGGTGGGATTCAATACCAAGAATCTGGGTGGTCTTCGGTTATGTATCTTTGAGGTAGGACTTAACGGATTCGATGTTTAGTAGGTTGGACGTGATTCTGTGTATCACTCCGGACCGAAGTGAGATCGTGTCTATACATACATTGTCAGACTATTATCTACCGTGTGTTTACCTTGCAGGAATGGTAACTACACTTTCTACAATGTTCCTACATCTATCATAGAGAAGAGGTTGGTATCGAATCCCTTGGGTATGTATCAGATAGAGACTACAGAAACTTTTAATTACGGTTTCTATTATGTGGTTAACTAAGTTCTGCAGATTTCTCATCTGAAATATTTATTAAAATAATATCGTTACACCTTTTCTTGTTTTAATTTCAATTTTACAACTCCATGGCGCTTTGTAACCTCACTAATCGATTGAGCCTGGTCTTTTTTCAACGACACTTCCAAATCATTCGTTTCCGTTTCTGTTGGTTGTTCAACGCATTTTGCAACTCTCCAAGAGAAATTGCCAGTTTTGAATCGTTAAAACCATTTTGCACGTATGTTGATACATCACTACCATAGACTTCTTCAATCAATCGTTCTCATACTCTTTTTCCTGATCACCTAATAAACCCTCAATGTAATTTGAATCGAGTCTTATTGATGGATTTAGAAATACAGTGATTTCCCTTTGGAACCAATCAAAATAGAGTAAACAAATTTATAAGGGGTTAAAAACCTTTCCACCTTGCCACGAATGCTCGGAAGCAGACCCAAGTTCGTCGCACACGTCGAGACATTACTGTATTACGTTTCCAAGTATCCATTTCAGTCACAAACCTACCACCATGTGCGCATATCATCGTAGTATACGTACAAAATCAAAGCACAATATTCGAAATTCAAATTGTCTGCCTATTTATACTTAAAACAAGAAACCCATTTGATCCTGGCATAAAAGGAAGTTATTTACTCGCAATTATTCTCAGAAAAATGCAACAAAACCTCATAAATCGTTATTTTATTTCCTGTTCGAAACAATTCCTGTCAGGATCAACAATGTGTACCAGACATAAATCATGCGGTGCTTCGATACCAAGCCACTGAAGACGTTACGCTCACCGTAAGATAACAATTTCCGGGGACAGTCTCCATTAATTTCGGTTGATCCCAACCGCGCAACAACTATGATCCGGTGTATCGTTGATCTAGGTTAAGAACCGCCGCTTACGCCGCTAATGAGCAGAGACTTGATACCAGCCAGGAGCAAGTGGGTCGTGATTTGATAGACTGCCGGTGACTTTCCCCAGTCAGCGTGAAGATTCCACGACTCCATCGAGATTACCTATCGTGCATACATACACAAACACGCACATACACGTGAACCTGGTAACGTGGGCTGAAGTTAGCCGCGCGGTAAATTGTCGAAGTTCGAAAACAAGCGGTAACGAGAACCGAGAAACGACGCTTTATATACGTATTCACCCCGAGTACGAAATACGAAACTAATTAGAGGCACGCATGCAGAGAGGGGAGAGCCGCGCACGGGTGCGCCACGAATAGAGCGTGTATGCATATTTCTTCGTTGCTATGCAAGTAACCCGGCGCCGTTAGTGGACCGTACGAAGCAGCTGGCTCTCCTGGGTGGATGTAAATCGTTGTTCTCCAAGTGGTTCGAATACCCCTGCAGCAAAAGCTGAATTAATCGGTGTGCACGTCGAAGACTTCGTAGGTTAACCGATATACGGTTGACTCTTGAAATTTGAATGCCAGAAATTTTGTATATTTGAGTGGTTAGCTAGTGCTGGGAATTACATCTTGGGGTTAGAACTACTAAGCAAGTCAAAGTGATTATTAGTACACTCTCACAACGATAATTAACATCTTATCATAATACACTTTCTCAGATCTTCTGCAACTTTCATTACGACATGAAAGTAAAGATATTAGTCAATTTAAAAATTCGGGAATTTTCGAAAACTCGTCGTGTTTATCGACCAATCGAAATA